GGCGGCACCGATACAGTCATCAATGTAACGGAGGAAGAGGTGGGGTTTAGGGCCGGTGTAGGTACGGAAGAGGGATTGTTCCACGTAACCTACAAAGAGGCAGGCGTAGCTTGGGCCCATGCGGGTACCCATGGCTACCCCCTTTGTCTGTAGGAAGTGGGAGGAATTGAAAGAGAAGTTGTTGAGTGTGAGGACGAGTTCGGCTAAGCGGATGAGGGTGTCAGTGGAGGGGGACTGGTCGGGCCTGCGGGACAGGAAGAAGCGGAGGGCCTTAAGGCCATCTGCATGGGGAATGCAGGTGTAGAGGGACTGGACGTCCATGGTAAAGATGAGGTGTTGGGGACCGGGGAATTGGAAGTTCTGGAGGAGGTGGAGGGCGTGGGTGGTGTCACGGACATAGGTAGGGAGTTCCTGGACCAAGGGGGAGAAAATGGAGTCGAGATAGTTGGAGATCAGTTCGGTGGGGCAGGAGCAGGCGGAGACAATGGGTCGACCAGGGCATTCAGGTTTGTGGATTTTGGGAAGGAGATAGAAGCGGGCAGTGCGAGGTTGGGGAACGATGAGGTTGGAGGCCGTGGGTGGGAGGTCACCTGAGGTGATGAGGTTGTGGATGGTTTGCGAGATGATGGTTTTCTGATGAAGGGTCTAGGCCCGAAACGTCAGCCTCTCTGCTCCTATGATGCTGCTTGGCCTGCTGTGTTCATCCAGCCCTGCACCTTGTTGTCTCGGATTCTCCAGCATCTGCAGTTCCTACTATCTCTGATACAGAGTGGGGTGTCTGTTTATGATGGGGGAAGAAAAGGCCAAGATTTATTGAACAACTGACTACAGTGATAGAATAAATTTGGAATTTTTCACACTTTGGCACACACAATGCTGGATAATTTGCCCATTCCTAGTTGCCTCGAGAAGGTGGTATTTGAATATCTGCATGTATTGTGCTGATTATACTCTCACAATGCTATCAGGTGGAGAATTCTAGGGTATCGGCCAGTGACTTTTATACCATATACACTACTCGCAGTGGTGCTCAATTAGTAGATAATGGTATTTTAATGGCATTTCTGCTTGAAGTTCTTAGTGGAGGAACTTAATGTTGAAGTGACCAAAGTAAGTTTGAATGCATCTTGTAGATCCTACACTCTGTAGCCACTGTGAGCCCATGCAGGCAAAGGTGATATGTCTTCCAGAAACTAACAGCCATTCCTATCTATAACAATCGCATGTTACTGCATATCCATGTTAAATAGCTTACCTCTACTCACTTTCTAATCTCAAATACACAGATTACCGATAGCATAGATCCACACTCCAGCATTTCAGTGACTTTAAAAAAGAATTGAAGAAAAATGAGAAACTGGGGGCATAAACTGTCAAGATGATCACATTTTAAATTTCCCTTAAAAAGTGAAGTAAACACCGCCATTCACATGATATTTCATACACTCAGAAACAGGAATGCCAACAAGTCCCAGACTGAGTGTATTGCATAAAAAACACTCTTCCGCCATTTGAATTGGTTCATGGCTCCACATTACTCACCTTTGTTTAGGCTGCTAGAAGGAAAGTGGTAACACGCACATAATCCATTGAAAGCAATTATTTCCTTTTCCTAAAATCATCATCAGCATAGTCTCATCTCTAACCATTGAAAGAATGTTTTTTTGGAAACTGTGGTAGCTGTAGCCAAAACCATTTCAAGTAAGAAGGTAATGACAAATGAGGACTTGTCTTTCAGTATGGGTCAGGTTCAATTTTACAATGACATGTAATTGATTTTCTCCGTGGGACAATTGCTGGAATACGGAGAGGTAAAGCACAGTCTAGAAATGCTAAGACAGCCTCTGTTTACAAACAAGTAAATTATCTTAAATGACAAAGAAAAAGAGATACTTAGAATACCTGCAATTTCTGAGCCAACATAAAAATATAGTAGGGAATCTCAAAAGCAATGCTTGCATTAGCTTATTGTTGAAGTGTACATAATTTGGCAAAAACCCAGTGATGCCTCTCCCATGTTTCCTGCTGGCTTGGTTTAATTCATAGTTCACTCACAACACTCAGTTCATGAACTTTATAAAACTTAACTATATAATACACACATACACACACAAAGAATGGATACTGGTGCACAATAAATTCACACGCAACACACTCAGGACTGAGAGCTGAGTAGTGATACTGTTGATACAGGTCAATAAAATTCCAGTTCATTATCAGTGCCGTGCGTGCACCAGCTGAATATTATGGGAGGCTAACTGCTTCAGGCAGTGCATGGAGGATAGATGGTGGGCAGTTGGCTGGGTAGCAGAGGAGGTGAAGGGCGTAGGGGGGAAAAGAAGGATAAGAAATATTAACACTCAGCCACCAACTAAAATATGTCTGGCCAAAGATCTTGATGAATCACCTATCCTGATTGTACTTTATTTGGAAAGAATGGTCATCCTGATCAGAAGCAAAATAAACACTTCAATCCAATCTCTGACAGCCTCATAATAGTCACTGCATCCAGCTTAATGATGATAAGAATCAGTTAGCCCCTTGCCAATGCACAATTGGTCAGTTGCCAATGATTAAGGAAATACTTTCTTCCACTATGTCCATTTCAAGAATATTTGGACAGGCTGCTAGCTGTCAATTAAGGTTGGCTACTGATTAGAAGATTTCTGTTTTTCTTCATTATGTTAGACAGAAAGAGAGGAAAGGGCAAGAGATATTTAAGAGATCAGTATTATTATGGAGAAATGGCTAGCATGATTTTCAAAAGAATGGCAAGAGAAGCTGGTGAGGTGTCCAGTGTATGCTTTAGTAGAATGATCATACTAGCAGAGTGGGGTGGGGGGGACAGGAGGGGGTGATTGTGGACAGAGAGTATCACTGATCTCAACTTACAGAGCTGAAGTCTGCAAAACCCAAAGAGGAGTCTTTAGAAGTTTTACTTGAGGAAGTAGGCGCGAAGGGATCTTTACCGCTGAATGGGTCACCGAGCCCCTTTTTACTTTGAAATGGATCACCGTCATCAGCACCAAAGGGCTGGAAAGGATCGTGGGACTTGACAGAGTCGGCCGAGCCAGGCCTGTTTACAGGGGTACTTTTACCTGGAAAGTTTAGAAAGAACAAAATTATTTCCCACCAGGAGATAAAGTCAGTCTTTAACCCCTTCACCAAAGGCATTAGGTTTTTTTGTTTGGGAGGGATTTGAAGGGAGACTTTTACCTTTAGCTATAATAATTTTTTTTTTTACAATTTGCCCAGAATTTTGAGAATGAACACAGACACAATGGATCAAATGGCCACCACCTGTGCTGTATAATTGAATGAAGAGCAGCACACTGACATTGCAATGCACTGTAGTAGTGGAGTGCAGGTTCAAACCCTTGCTCTGTCGCACTTCCAGCCTTAGCTCTGTGGAAAACTAAGCAAAGGCCACAACTAAGTGCTCAGCACATCTTTTCTCCACAGTTTCTTTCTGCATATCTCCTGGTTACCAACTCAGAGAAGTGCTAATGGAGAGAAAGCCGTGGCCATTGTAAATTGTGCAGGATTGCCAATTGGAGAATACATAAAACAGAAAACTTTTACCCTTACCACAAGTCAAAGGGGTTGGGGAAATCACACTGTAAAGCTGAATGCAGGTCAGTGTGATCCAAATAACACATCATTGAAATGGCGGTGAAGAGGTTAATCTGTCTTTTAGAAAATGGAACCCATTATTTCCTGTTCGATCATACCTGGAGAAATTTATCATTTTAACTGGCTGAATGATGCAGCTTCAACAGCAATTGCCTGAAGGCAACATTGGCAGTTGGCACTATGCTACACCCAGCCAAATTTGACAAGAGAACATTTTGATAATAGCGAAGTTTTTGCCAACTGCAATAGTAGAGATGCTGTCTAGAACCTGGAAAGGTATGATTGAACGGCAATGACATACTTGCACCACCTGTACTGTAGCAGAGAGTAGAGTGTCCGGCCTACCCAAGATTCTCTGGTGCAGTACATCCAGCTGTATGTTATTGCTTAAATTATTCTGTACATCACTTCCCCCAAAATAGAGACAGAATGAGTTCTTACAGCATGGGCTCTTATAGGAATATAACACAATTAAGGAGTGAATGGATTCTTACAGGATTAAATACAAGGTTAAGCATGGCCTCCTACAGGATCAAACACAATACAGTAGCAAAAGCATGTGCACTTACAGAATTAGAAACAAAGAGAGAGGACATGGGTCTTAACAGTTAAGGGGGCTTGGTTTCTTACGGCATGGGGTCTTATATCATTAAACACAGACTGAATAGGTATAATTGGCTCTTACAGGATTAAATACAGATAGCATTGAAAATGTTAATTATCAGCAGCACCAAAAGGTGTTATGAGGCTTAATTTCCATCTGCTTCACCATCACAAGGACCAGTGGATTCCAGCCTTTAAGAGCATTATATTACTGTTAGGATAGACACAGCCATGACAATTTAATCAGAGAAATGAAATTAACAAAAGATCATTCCAAGTGAGTTACTGCCTGAAACAAAATGTGCAACATCAAAAGAATGAGAAGCTCACATACCTCATTCAGGTAAAGGCAGCAACGGTTTGTTTTTTCTATTACACTTGGGAGATTTATTTAAAAAAGACTGACAATGCAAAAAATACCACATCAGCAAACAGGACATTTGCATGAATAGACAAAATGTCAATAAGTGTCAGTCAAGGTGCCCATCTGAGGCATACCACCCAGAAGAGGCGACATGCAGAAGCCAGGGCTTCTTGAATGAAGGGCAAAAGGTGAGGAATAAAGTCAGGAAGACTGACCATGGATGATATTTGTGCATTCCTGTTCCAGTTCAAAAGTGGTCTTTAAGTGATACGCCCATCTTCTAAGTGAAACTTTATGGAGTGTTAGTGGATAGGCAAGGAATAAATTATTTAATATTAATTAATTAATAATTATTCATGTGTGTCTTTGTGGTTTGAAATGATTAGAAGCATTCTTCCCAGGTAAATGTGAAGATTGAATTCCCTTCTGCAAAAGGTTTATCCAGACTGTGACTGAGCTTTAGCTAGCCAGAAAGTTCAAGATTCAATGTCCAGTCAATGCTAATATAACTGATCTAAGCCAGGGCTACAGTAGATGGTCAGTGAATGGGGATTAAAAAGGCGAGCTCTCCATACCTGATGGTCAAGCAATGAACACTGTCTTGTGGATGTTAGGTGCAGACATGATGCTGCTCAGCTATGAAGGACATGCTGACACTCACTGTAAAGGATCTAAATACAATTAACTGGACAACATACATTTAACACTTTCTGGACGCAATTTGGCAAAAAAATAAAATGAAACATTAAAGTGTAACCGCTGTCATGCTATCCATGATCCCTTGGTGTTAGACAGCACATTTAGGAAGGCAGCTGTTATTCAAAGTCAAAGCTCTCTGACAGTTTCTACAGTGTCAGAATATTATGGCCGTTGTGTAGGAAGGAAGCTCCCAATCATATCAATAGCACCTTTGAGGTTGTGTTGTTAGGAGTGACTCATTTTGAAGCACACTTTCAGAGAAACTTGCAATAGAAAGAAGCAAAATCCAATAAAGATGAACAGTTTGTTGGGCAGAATCAATTCAAGCAGTCGATGAATGGTACAGTTGTACCTAATGTAACTTGCTATAAAGCCACAGGTGGTTTTAAAATCTCACTGTGAAAGTGGTTAAACTGCTGCTTTTGAACTGTGCATAAACCGAAATACATTTTTTTAAAAAAAAAGATAATTTAACCTAATATTACGTTTTTAAACACTGCTAGTGAAAACAGTACTAGGAAATATTGATTATTCAGAATGAAAGTAAATTCTGTTAAGATTTTGATTTAGCTCAGTCCTCCAGACTAACAGGTTAAGATACGACATCTGATTTTGGAGAGTCATATAAGACAGTGTACTGGTTCAACGGTCTGGCAAGAACCAATTGCATTTAGTTTGCTTAACAAGTGATTTTAGACCTTAAGATTTACAATTCTTTAATTACAAAGGCTATTTAAAACAAATTTTCTAATGAGTATTCATTATTGATCTCAATTTCTTTTGCTTAATATGAAACTTTGAGCAAGGTAACCAGAGTCCCAATGTTAAATGTGGATTTTCTACAATAACTTCTTGACACCAGCTAATTCTTACCATAACTCAACAGCAAGCTTTAATTTGTCTGAGTTACAGAGGAAAATATTCTGATCAATTTCCCACTTAGATCAATATTTGATAGCTCTGGTTTGAAGTACCATATTGAACATGCTTAGCTAGGATATCCACTAAGGTCTAGAAACAGTTACTGCAAAAATTTCCATATGAATACAAATTCAGGTAGCAATGAGGCAATATGTTCATAAAAGGGAGGGGAACAGGAGAAAACTAATTATGGGGAGAATGGGGCGAGAAGATATTGTGAAAGAGAAAATGAAATTACAACCAAAAAACTACAGTTCTCTCTACCAAATCTGGTAAGATTCACCCTAAGTGCGGGTGTACAAGTCACAACATGATATTTATTTTTATGATTTTTAATCGCTTGAACACCTGAAATCAAAGGATATTTTAACAAGATGTTAGCAGGTAAGAGTAAAACTAAGACAGCAGAAATGCCTTTGCCCCCAAACAACAAATGCTTCACAAACATGTTACAATCTATTTAACTTAAATTTACACATTGTTCTCTTCTGTATGACTTGTGGAAAGAGAATAGACTTCAAAACAATCGTGATTTGTTTCATTGAACAGTTCAAATCCCCTAACTGTGGGAAGCTCCCCAACCTGATTTCTAGCTTTCCAGGAGCATGTTTGCACTAGAGATGAAGCCCCAGTAGTGTGCTATATTCCTGTAAACATTTCTTGCTACTGTATGGATCTCTGAGGTCCATACATAGCAGCAGCTTCTAGAATCACAAGTGAATGCAGCAGTTGTGTAGTCATTGAAAATCGGTGGTGAGTGCATCCACCTGGGTCATTTAAATTAAAGGATGTATGTGGAAGCTAAGAGTTTTGATCAGTGGACATCCTAACCAGCACTTCCAGGCATTTGAGCTGGGGTACTGATCCATAAGTTTTCTGTTTACCCCCACCCCCAGTCATTCCGACCATGCAGTCAGACATATTTGCCGACTGGAGTGCTGCTCGATTTGGCACCATTTATATGCTAGACGTAGAGACAGTAAAGCAAGATACGCATTCTTATAATGGAGGAAGAACTGGAGAAATACAGTGAAATGAGATATTATTTGAAAAAGAAAAATTTGCATGAGAATCAGTTCAGAAAAGGTTCATTCGACTCACTCTGGAATGAAGTGCTTATCTCATGATGAAAGGTTGGGACTTTACTTATTGGAGTTTAGAAAAATGAGACATGATCTTAATGAAACATATTGGAACTTGAGGGAGCTTGATGTCGTGGATTACGACAGGATATTTCTCCTTGTAAGAGAGACTGTAACTAGGGATACAATTTAAAAATAACAGGTTGAGCTTTTAAGAGATGAGAATACTGTTTTTTCAGAGGGTTGGTGGTTGAGGTATTCCCTGCCATAGAAAACAGTGGAAGCTGGGTTACTGAATTTATTCAAGGTTGAGTTAGATAGATTTTTGATAGATAGTGAGTTGAAGGTTGTGGGGAAAGACAGGAATGGAGTTGAGACTACAACCAGAACAGCCATAGGCTTATTGAATGGAACAGGTTCAAATGAGACAAGTCCAACCAGACCACCCTTTCAGTTTCAGCAGAAGTCACTGCATGGTGTACAATACCCATTTTTGCAAGGAATCGTGTTAGTTACAATCGGATGAAATGAGAGGTATTTGGACAGCTGTTCAGTTTTTATACTCTGATATTTTCGTCTTCAATGTTACAACATTCATTTTCACTTTGGTCCAGAAAACAAACAAGACCTATTCAAGTGCAAGTTAGTATCACTGAAACTACAAACACAAAAAGAAGGACAGATTCTATGAAGATTCAACAGAAGGTTCTATGACTTCTGTGACTGATAGCATTTACTGTGGAAGTATCTAATGTGAGAAATTACTATCAATCTGTAGCTTAAAGAGTTGATATAT